GGACAGAGAAAATAGAGAAGAGAGAGGATGGGTGGTCTTGTCTATTTGTCGCCTGGATTTTCCTCATTCAACGGCCTTTTGGCCTTTGTTCCTCTGTCTTTATTTTACGTGTTCTTTTTTTTTTTTTTTTTTTTTTGAATATAGGAGAATTTTGGAGAATGATGGATTTTTTTTTTTTTTTTTTTTTGAATATAGGAGAATTTTGGAGAATGATGGATTTTTTTTTTTTTAAGTTGTTAGTGAGAGTTGAATTCTTGACCAACTAAATTTAAAAACTAAGGTTTGAGGACGAACCACTAAATTTAAAAACTAAGGTTTGAAGACAAACCACTAAATTTAAAAGTCTGATTCACACAACCTCAAGTTTTTTGAATGCATTAAAGTGATAAAAGGATGTGCTTTAAAAATTGCTTGCTCTACAAAACGCAAGAGAGACTTTCGGTGTATGGTGGCAACTCCCCTACCAATGATCGGCTTGATGACATTGAGGGACAATTAGAAATGTGGGTTTTGGGTTTTATTTGCTGTATAAAAGACGTTTATATGAAGTCTCAGAAAGAACTAATCTAGAAATATTAAATTAGGGTTAAGATTAGAAAAAATTTTTTTTTTTTTGTTTGGCCATAGAAGTAACTGGTAATGTAAAAAAAAATGTCCTTAGAAAAGAGATAAATATGATGATCACCTATTGAATGTTTAGAGGAATCAAGATTGATTAACAAAAGGTGTACATCACAAATCAAATATATATTTATTATCATTATTTTAGGTTGCACTAAACGACCTTATTCTTCTAATATTGTATTAGACCTAGGGTAGGATCATTGATATGCAAAATATTGTTTCTAGGTGAGTTTCAAATTTTAAGTCTTGCTCTAATGTATTAAATTAGTATAAGAAATGTGTAGTTGTTAAAAATTTAAATAATTTAGTCAGTAATATCCTTTAAATAAAAATAAAAAATTTTAACCTCAAATTATATAATATACAAATAATTTAAATTTAAAAATATAAAAAAATTATCTCTCATTATATTTATTCTCCAAAACCAAAATAAAAAGAAAAGTAAGAAGCGTGCAATTAATTTTTTTTTTTTTGAACATATTTGCAAGAGGTAGATTTCGAACCTAACCCGGAGAGGGGGGAATGCATCAAGATGACTATTGCCACTAGGCCGCAAGGGCCAGATGCATAAGAAGAAGCGTGCAATTAAGATTTAAGATTACCCAAGAAGTAATTAAAAAAAGACCTATAGCGTCCTACACGATAATCCCCCCCACCCCTCTCCAAAAAAAAAAACTCAAATTAATCACCAAGGACATGTGATGGCAATTGTGCATCGCGGGTGTGTGGGTATGTATGACAATCCAAAGTGGGGGTGGGCATATGCCGATTTCGGTGAAAACCAATACCGAAAAGTAACTAATGGACTTTTTCTTTCCTCTTTTTTTCATGACAGAAACCCATAACGGAATCCTTTTATTTTTTCAGTATTGCATACCGAAGATTTCGGTATTGGATACCAACAGTTTCGGTATACCAAAAATTTTGGTATTGGACACCAAAAATTTCGTTATTCATTTTTTTGATTTTGATATTCATCAAATTTGCTGTTGCAGAGTGGAGAAAGGAAAGAGAACATTGGTGAGGATGAAAAAAGAGGAAGAGGGGTTAGAAGCAAATAAGATTACGAAGAGAATGGGAGGAAAAAACACGATAATATGATATATAATTTTATAGTTGTGCAAAACTATAAAAAGTTATTATAGATTGAAAAAAAATTGTATTTTTTTTTGTATCCAATGCCAAAATTTTTGGTATACCGAAATTGTTGGTATCCAATACCGAAATTTTCGGTATCCAATACTGAAAAAATAAAAGCATTCCGTTATTGGTTTCTGTCATAAAAAAAAAAAAGAGGAAAAAAAAAGTCCGCTAGTTACTTTTCAGCATCGGTTTTCACCGAAATCGGCATTTGCCCACCCCTAATCCAAAGCCTATAGCGGTTTACCGCCACAGGTTCAAGATGATTGACATATGACTATGACTAAAAGAATGACATTTAAATATAAATTTTAATTTCTACTTTAAAAAGTAATTATTATATTTTTTTAATATTAATTAATATTAAAAAATAAAAATTAATATTAATTAATTGAGTAATATTAATTTTTATATTTTTTAATTGAGTAATTAAATAAATATTAATTTTTATTATTTTAATATTAATTAACATTAAAAAAATATAATAATTACAACTTTAATTTGTATTATTATGTCACATAGTAGAAGAACTTTTAACTATCTTAATTATTATTTAAGTAAATAATACTCTTGATGAATGTTTCAAATAGTTAATAACTTAAAATTTTAATTTGAAGATTTTACATTTGAATTATGAAATGAATGGAAAGAGATAAGAGAAATTAAGAACTATATTCTATTATATAACTCAATATTTAATATACCAAAAGAGTAAACGATATCAAATCTTGTGAACCTTTTTTTTTTTTTTTTGTAAAAATTCATGAAATTTATTAATAATAATAAAAAAAGTACAAACAAATTTTAATGAATTAAGATATACAAGCATAACAAAGCAAAACTTTATTGTACCAAAAAATTAATAAATAAATTACAAAGCAAACTTAACCCATATCATCTTTAATAGATGATTTTGCTTATAATAGACATCAATAATTAAGTTTAAAAAATCATCCATTACTAGAAATTACATAAATAATTGTTTATAAAAAGGCAAACAAACCTAGAAGGGCTTCTCAATTGTGTGTCTAAAACACTTGAAGTCACATATGATAAGTTAGAGTAAAAGGATGAGTCGGGGACTCCATCCGTGACCATGTTGTCAAGGACAAACAAATATTGCAACTCATCTCACTCGAGAAGCACTACATCTATGCTGTTTTCCTCCTTCACCAAAGGTTAAACCCGATAAAAATGTGTCAAAATAACTGAGATAAAGACTCCAAAAAGAGAGAGAAGCTTTCTTAAAAAGAGAAAGAAACCTGAAGAGAAAAAATCTCATAGTTATTTACTCCCGTGAAAAAAAGGTGAGATAGACTTAAGGTTGTCTATCTCGTACTAATATGTGCGCGTAAGTTTTGTTATTAATACAATATTTATTATGTATTGAATTATATTAGGTATTGTTTTAAATCTACAACTATAAATAAATAACTATATATATATTAAAGAAATAACTTTGTAATGATTTTTTCTTTTAAAAAAAATTAACAAATATTGAAAAGATACATAATAATATCAGTAGCGTGAACTCCAAAATTGAGTTGAAGTTTTCATTCTTTAAATGAAATATATGAGCTTTTTCAAATATTTTATATAATAATATAAAAATCCAATTCAAAAGTCAATTGCAATTCTGCACCATGTGGCCATTTTCTCTTTTTTTCTTTAATAAATAAATCTTATCCCATAATCCCTTTACTCTTTTACCATAATTAACTCACATTCTTAGTCCTCACTCTTCTTTCATTTTCTTCCTTTCGTCCAATGACTCCGATGACACATGGATTCCGATCAAGCTTTCATTTCACCGCATTTTCTAGGAAGAATTAACGAAGAATTTTTGCTGAAAATATTTGTTTGGATGGACAGAGAAAATAGAGAAGAGAGAGGATGGGTGGTCTTGTCTATTTGTCGCCTGGATTTTCCTCATTCAACGGCCTTTTGGCCTTTGTTCCTCTGTCTTTATTTTACGTGTTCTTTTTTTTTTTTTTTTAACATGGAGAATTATGAGAGAATGAAAGATTTTTAAATTATTGGTGAGAACTTAACTAAATTATAATTAATATTTTATATTTTTTAATTAATTTTATAATTCAACACTTCATAAACTTATTAGTCTTTCAGTTTTATATTTTAGGCTACTAAAAAGAAGATGCACTGGTCTAAAATAGTAGAAGATTAATAATAACATGCTTATAATGCACTGACACGGGTAGCTTTCATGTGTGCCCGCTTACCCGAAACTGTAGAGCCCATTACCAAGGGGGTCGCGTCCACAGAAGCGAATTTGAGGAGCTCCGTATCACGTTGCAGAATTGCCATGTCTTCTTCGTCCAAGGTCACCCACGCTTCTATGCCGTCGCCGGAACTCGTGTCGGCTAAAATGATAAGGTTCGCGACCAGCGGTCCTTCCAGTCCAATACTGCTAACCCACACAGGCTTTCCCCACCCAAAATCAGTTCCATAGAAATCACAATTGCACCAACTGCTAAAACCAAAGTAATCGATTTCATCTCGTCTGGATTCCAGCTCGTGAATTCCCTTGAAAGACTCAGGAATCGGGGGATTGTCTGCAAATTTCTTCACAAAAGCAACATCGATTTTCGATATCGCTTCCCGCAACTTTCGAATCAAGTCATGCAAATCTGATTTGGAATTTGCCCCGTGTTCTGCCACAGCTATCCAGACGAGATTTCCGACGGAATTCTCTGCCAGGGACGGTGGCGATATTCGTTTACGCAGGTTCACTAAGTGGGCCGATACAGACGGCTTTTGGAAGCCGTGTTTTGCTTTGGAAGCAGCCATTGCTTACTTCCATATGATGGCGGAAACCACCTCAACCCGGGTTGGGACTTTTGTGCTGCTTGAAGAGTCGGTTGCTTGGGACTTGAGGGTGGCGAGTGCCGTGGCATCAAACAGAAATCTCCTTGTGACACGTTTTCCTGAAGTTGACATGACGGGAGAAGGATCTAAATTGATTGCGGGGATGAAGAGATCAGTAGAATAAGCAAAGAAGTTGGGATGCACAACTTCACTGCAGCCGCGCGAGGCGGCACTCCACGCCTTGAGGAATGTACTCGTAGCGGCACCGTCTAGGATCTTATGGGAAATGCATATCCCAATAGCCATACCACCACATTCAAAGATGTTTACTTGAAAATTACTTACATGAGTTCCTGCGAGAGATTCCTTCCTACTGAATCCACAAGGAAGGAAACAGTTGAGTGAAACAAGGTCAGGTTGAGTGAGAAAATCTTTTTAGGTGACAATTGACTCGAGCTTGGATAAAACAAGCTCCTTTGTCATTGCAGTCTATGGAGAAATGATCTCTCATCTTTCCGGCTAGTGGGTAGAAGTGGGTTAATGTGTTTGACAGAGATTTCTTCAGCAGGTCTACCCTCTTTGGGATGTCAAGGATGGTGGTAGTAGTAGGGTAGAAGAAGATGAGTGGAGCATAAGGGGAAGGAATAAGCTGGTCCAACAGGGAAAGGTTAAAGATTTTAAGGTGTTCAGGTGTTGGGGAAGATGGCTTTATGTTTTGTGTGGTGATAATTTCTACTTCCATCTTCATTGTTGGCTGGAAGTATATTAGTTTCTTCGAAAAGAATACTTCACTTCTCTGTGCTCACCACACCGCTCCATGTTCTGGTTTCTTCCTCATATATAAAGCTGCAAGAGAGGATATTTTACACAGCATGGCACTCAAATAGTAAGATTCTTTTGTTTGTTTTATTTGCAAAGATAGAGAACCTGTGGCGAATATTCCAACGCTTGATGCAAAGCCAACTGAAGATGTCACATCCATAAAACAGACACCGTACACGTATGAGTGGATTTACAAGTGTGGTTACTAGACTTGGCAATCAGGTTCCAAACAGTTGCTACTTACCAGAATTTCTAGCAAACAGGATCAGTGATGTTAATCACGTGGTTGATAGAATCAAAGGGAAAAGCTAGAGGAAACAGAGAATTAGAGAAGATGCACCCAATTAGACCTCCAATCATCCCAAAAGACTAGAAAAAAACGCAGGATGTAAGGGAAAATTCTGGTTAAATTCCGTACCTGAGTTTCCAACAGAATTTCCGCCCCCAAAACGTTGGAACCAGGTTGAGTGTATAACAGATGAATCGAAGCCCTATCTCTTAGGTCCCTATAACTTCAAGAATCACGGACATCTATAGAGAAAGTTAAGTTCAGAAAACTGTCACAAGTTCAGGCTGTCAGAATTGCTGCGAAATTCACCAGGACAGCAGGGAAATTTCGATGATTTACAGGGAAAAACCATTAGAAGAATAAAGAAAACGAAAAGAGATATAGCCTATTCCAACTCACCCAAAACAGGGGTAGAACTGAACCCAAAACATCAACCGATGTGCACGAAATCAGCAGGGAATCATGGATAAAAGAGGAAGGATGAACAGCAGCAAAGTCTGAAATTTTCCCTTGATTTGAAGAAGTAGATGTGTAATAGGAAGGCAGGGAGTTCGGCTGCTTTCCAAGGGTTAGAGAATGATCTGGGAAAGGGTGACAAAACGCAGAAGAGGGCTTTATGATCCTTCTTCTTCCCTTTTATTTATTTATTTATTATATATATATATATATATATATTACGGGAAAGTGCGGGTCAGTCCCGCCTCCAAAAACAAAAATTGGAGTCCCGACCAAACGACGTCGTTTTCTCCCAAAATATACAGTCTGCTGTTCGTCTTTTCTCCAAAAATCCCCAGCCCCTGTTTCTCGCTCCTCCAATTCCTTCAATTTTTCACTCAAAAATCCAGCCACTGCTGCCACCCCCCTCTGCAATCATCTCCATCTCCTTCTTCACCCCTTTTGCAATTGTCTCACGCCGCCGACCCAACTTTGCCGCTGCAATTCATCATCTCCG